CTTGAAGAAAAGGAGAGTAATTACGGAAAGCTTAAGGGGAGTTGTAGGGGGACAGTAGAAGTGTTTGATAATGAGAAGAGTTTAAACTTGTTTTTAGGCTTTGAATAAAGGGCTAGCCAGAGGGTGAGATTGAGGATCAAAGTGATCAGGGGTGGAGTGTGTGTGAACTTGAAAAAAAAAGCAATTCTCAGAGGAGGAAGACAGATGGAATCCTGAGCACAGGGGCCAAGGTCAGGCTATAAAAGAAGTGGAGCACCTCCTCCTCTGAAATACGGAGGGCCAGCTTAGAATGGTGAAGACACAAGGAAGTGTAGAACAAGATGGGTGAGTCTGCTGAGAGATTTCAGGCCTGAGATGGCTGCTACTGCTTTGGGTGTAAGTGACAAGTGACACGATCTTCTTGTACTGAGAGGATGAGATTCAGGTCAATATCTTCCTCCATTGTTGCTGCAGAGAATTGGAAAAGGCACCTGAATCCTCCATGATGGTTATCCCAAGTCCTTCTATATCTACATGCAGCTCGTGGCTATCAAACCTTCACATGACAGCTTTATTGATTTCAAATTCCAAATCCTCTTAGTACTAAATTTCTTGATCAATTTTTCTATGTGCCATTAACTGTTTTTATAGCATCCCAGGGCTAGAAAGCTATTGATCTGCTCCAAGTTCAACTAAAATTTCAATTTAACAAGGCTTTATAACCTTTCCAATTTTACTTGATTAGATGACATTTAAAAAAAGCAAAACATCTTTAGTTTTTCTCAAAAGACCTAACCAAGCAAAACATTGCCCCATCCTTGGGATTGTGATGGAAGAGAATACAAACTAGTGCATTTTGTAAGGTAGGTAACGTTTCTACTCTATTGTTCGCAAAAGTATGATCGGTTCAACTTTACTTTGGCGGCGTGTCTACTTTATCATTCTTATTTCCCAACATACACGACAGCCTCTCATTTGTAATCACTTTAAAGTTCAGTTACAGGTTTCATAAATTCAGGGAGAGCTATTTTAGCAAATAATGCAACACATGTTTCTTCATGAAGAGTTAAAAAAAGATGAATAACAGGTTCTGTATTTATTAGTACTTAACAACAATATTGATTATGTACTTAGGCAGGGAACAAGCAAAGCTCATTTGAACTCCATAGTATTGCCATATGATACTTTGTTGCTTGGAATTATTCCTTTTAATACTTAAGATCTCTTTACATTGATTTATCTATTGTTAAGAAGGTATACATTTTAACTAAAATATTAAAGCTAAACAATGTTGTCATTTGAGGCCTTTACGCTTTTTGCTTTTTTTGTGTGTGTGTTTTTTTAGGTTAACATGAATGGAATCAAGGACTATCTGGCTTCCGGCATCCACAGACTACCCTCTCTGCAGTTGCAATCATTTGACCTTTGACCTGAAAGCCAGTTCTGCCTCAGCTTCTGGGCTCTATTTTAACCTGTATTAGGGATAATTTTAGGAAATATAGACCAATCTTTGGTTGACTCAGCATCCTCACCCTAGCTGCGAGTGGCTCCAATAAGTGCTGTATTTCCAACTGTTGATGTTCTGCTCCCTTGCTCACCTGTTGATTGCAGGATTCTATGACAGTAAGATTACCTGGGTTTGAAGCCCCACTTCACCACTATCCTTGGCCGGGGTAAGTTATTTCACTTCTCTGAGCCTCAGATACATTACCTCTCAAAAGTTGGTAGAAATATTTATGTTACGGAGCTGTTATATTAATGCCTAGCTTTGGTCTGGCAAGTACAAGGCAGTTCTGTGATTTTTTTCACCTTTTCTCCCAAATTCCTGCTGTTATAAACTCCTCATTACACAGATTCTTACAGACTCGAGTCTCTGCTTTGCTTTAGGTAAATATCTGTAGGGACTGGAGTTCTGTGACCTGCTGTTGGGTCACTTGAATGATGGCCACCATCTGCCTGCAATTCTACCTATTAGCTGACTTGAGGGGTCCAGTTACCTGCTTCATCCATCTGTCCAGACAGCTGATGGCATATTACTGAATTTCCTCAATGACTCCATATGCCTGGGTCACCACCTATTGCCTGACACCATATTTTATAATTATTTTGGAGTATCTGGCTATTGGTGCTTCCCTCATCCCTGCCACATGAAACTTATGTTTTATTTCTGCCTCATTTATAGTTTTGTTTTGGTCATTATATGATATAATAAATGGACTTCAAAGTCATCTATTTCCTAAATATGAATAAAGTTAATTGCCTACTTAAAGAAAAGTATAACTTATAATAATATAAAAACTCAACATGTATTATAAAATAAAAATGCATTTTAGGAGACAATAAATCCTGATAATTTTAGCTTGATAATTTACAACACAGAATAAATTTAAGGACATGTCAAACTCATTACTTCTTTAGGTGACTGATGTAAACCATAAGGTCTTTGAATTTTGAGAGGATGTCATATCCTACTGCTGTCCAGTGAAGTAAAGGTAAAAGATCACAATCTACAGAAGAGATGCCAAAGGTAAAAGGCAATCCATATGAAGCAACCCATGATGGCCTCTTTCCATGTCCGTTCCAAAAGCTAATGGTTTACTTGCTTAGCTCAAGTTCTGCCTTATTTATAAACTATTACTGGCCATTAAAAAATGATTGTGTTCATATTTCATTTCTACCTTTTGAATTTGGTTGTCATTTAAATCAAAAGTCATCACATCACATAGTAACACCTATCAACCAGCTTACTTATATAATGCATTTTAAAATTAGAATATTTCATAAAGAATAGCTTATGAATTTTCTTGTTCATTCTAGTTTTAGTGGTAGTATATCACCATCTGTGTCTGAATCTATATCTATATCTACAAAAGTATATTTATCTATTTCTATGTTTGTGTTCAGTAAAAGTAGAAAATTAATGTAATCCTATTCTCCTATATAATAGAGGTAATATGCAAATTAATCCTCACGCCGTCACAAGATGGCTGTGCCCACAGCGGAAGCAGAGTTCCCGTAACGAGTGATCAGCAGGGACATGAGGCTGCGTGGCACCGGGCCAGGGTGGGGGACCTGAGGCTGCACCCCCCCACCCAGTGGGGCTTGTTGGGGGACCTGAGGCTGGGACCCCGCCTGGCACTGGGCCAGGGGACCTGAGGCTGTGCTCCCCGCCTGGCGGGGCTTGACGGGGGTGAGACCGGCCGGGTCTGCATCTCACCCAATGGGGGTGGGGCCAGCTGGGTCTAGGTCTCGTGCGATTTCGAGGAGTGTGCGGGTCGGCGGGGACTTGACTCTGGGTTCCACAGCGCACCCCAGACTCTGACAAGAGGGAGATTTTCATATACATTTTACTAATTTTCTTTCATCTCTGACATTTCTATTATAGAGAAAGGGCAAATAGCAATATTAAAATATTTCCTCTAATTAATTCCCTTTTAATGTGCACAAACTTTGTGCACTGGGCCCCTAGTATACTAATAAAAGCCTAAAATGCTGTGTCCGGTCGTCCAGTCATCCGTTCAACCAATCAAAGTGTAATATGCTAATGATATGCTAAGGCCGCCCAACTGCTCGCTATGACGTGCACTGAGCACCAGGGGGAAGATGCTCCGACCAGTAGATTAGCTTGCTGCTGGGGTCCAGCCAATTGAGACTGAGCAAGATGGGCTGGACATGCCCTGGAGCCCTCCCATGGTCCCTCCCTGACTGGCCAAACTCCTGCATCCCTCCCAGGCCCTGATCATGCACAGGTGGGGTCCCTTGGCCTGGCCTGTGCCCTCTCACAATCCAGGACCCCTTGGAGGATGTCAGAGAGTCAGTTTCAGCCCGATCCTGCTCAACGCAGGGGGAGCGCTGCTCAGCCAGAAGCCAGGCTCACGGTTGGCGAGCGCAGCAGCAGTGGTAAGGAGCCTCTCCTGCCTCTGTGGCAGCACTAAGGATGTCTGTCAACTGACTTAGCCATCAGTCAAACATCCCTTGAGGACTCCCGGACTGCGAGAGGGCACAGGCCGGGCTGAGGGATCCCTGCCCGCCCGCCCCCCGCCCCGCTGAGTGCATGAATTTCATGCACTGGGCCTCTAGTTCCTTAATAATCAGATAATTAGGAGTACAGTACTATATTTACTGGTATTCTTTAATAATACTATGAGGTCACTGAATTTTTCCCATTTTCTTTTACTATTTTGATGTTTAGATCTGGGAAGAATTTTAGATGATTTAAGTAAATATCTGTCTATTTCTCACATTACAGTAGGTGGCATTATAATGCTCTGAATTTACTACTGCACCTTTCTGTGTCCCTTAAAACCAGGAAATGGCCTAGACCTGGTATTCACAATAAATGAACTTAAATGCCTGCGTGTTGATAGCTATGAAACAATGAAACAAAGTCAATCAAACTAAATCTCAGTGACTAAAATATTCATATGAAACAAAGTCAATCATATTAAGTATCAGTGACTAAAATATTCAAATTGTTAAGAAAGCAATCAATGAAAACAGCCCAAGAAGACAAACCAAAATTAGTGACTAGACCTGAAACATAGCAAGTCTTTGACCCAATGCACGAGCATCATGAAGGTTTATTCTTCCTATGAAGAAAGACAAAAGCGCACAAGACCCTACCATAGTGTTTTTCTAAAATACAACAATTTACAACCCTCCAGGTGGAGACTATAAAATCAAAAACAATCTCTTAAAGCCTTTACATACTGAAATGTTTTCCCCCTCTTGTTAATGCAGTTTGGGTGTTAGAACACCTTGGGAGAAACTCCAATCTGAGGAGATAGCATGAATTGTCCTGCTAAACTAAGTAGACTTTTCCTCATGGTTCAAAAATTTAACCGCATTGAAATGAACTTGGAGACACCAATATAAGGAGAAATGTCACTAGAGTGGGAAACCCTTAAAAAGTTGGCAGCATAGTATAGCTGCAAATATCCTAGCAATCATTCAGCACAAGGTGGAATTTAATTGAGTCAAGCACGCACCCCCCTTTCCATTCCCCTGTCCAAGTAACTCACAACTTTCAATCTCCAGAGTGCAGTTTTGTTCATCCAGAGGATATCTTCGTAGATCCATCATACATGCAGCTGTGGTTGTGATTCTGTCAGGATGAGAGAGAGAAAGATAGCATCATAAGTACGATGGCCCCCGGTTCCAGGCTTCCCAGCCCCGGATCATGTTACCAGTGGGCATAAAAATTTGGTGGTTAACATTTTTGAAGGCAGGCAGATTGAATTTGAGTCTTTCTTTGCTGCTAACTAGTCTTGTGAGCCTGGACTATTTAATTGAGCTCCGTGAGCCTCAGTCCCCTTATCCATCATAACACCTACTACATAGGATGAATGGCAGTGAGAATTAAAAGAGATGTGTGCTCCATAAATGCTGGTCATTATTATAGCTATTTTTATCCCATAGCATCCTGGCAATGTCTCTGCCAGTATCTTCAGCAAGTCCTGCCTATGAGTAGGTCATCTACAATATGCATTAAAGCCTACCTTCATCTCCTGCTACAACCTAATAATAAAACAACAAAACAACAACAAAACCTGTCCTCTATAACTTTCGGTGCCTAACACTACCCACTATTACAGAGATTTGTCAAATTCATCTCTGAGACCCTGGTCCACCTATATTCAATATAACCAGGAAAGAAACACTACCTTAGGATTGGTGTTCATACCACATAGTCACCAACTCCAGTTGAGCTTATGTTTTTATGCAAACCCCCAAACCCTGACTCTAGATATCTCACCTGGGTTTCCATTATCCCTCCATTTTCATTTGCCTGGGCGATGGAATCTGAGAGCAACTGAAATTCCTAGGCTATCCACTCTTATGGACATTGCATATTACTATGGAATTGAGAAAGTACTTTTCTTTGAAAAAATGGCATGGTCTTCTCTCACAAAGTAACGTGTGATTGTAATGTAAAGAATTCAAAATATTCAAATTTAATAATAGAAATTTTCCTTGCTACTTTAATCCCCAGGAACCACAACACTGGAAAATTTCCATGAATATTCCTTGTACAAATAGGAGCACAGCTATATCTTCTTATAGGATAGCTTCTTAGACAGCTGCCTACCTGCTCTGAACCTTTCTTGTTTGCATTAACAATGCATCTTGGAATTGGTTTTATATCAGTAAATAATAAGCTGTCTTAAAAATTTTACTGCAATGTGTTCAGTTGTATGGAAATACCATACTTTATATTCCCAGTCATCTTTTGATGGACATTTACACTGTTTCCTGTCTTTTAGTTTTACAAATGAAGATGCATTGAATATACTGGTACAACCTTCTATGTCTCACTACTATCTGTTGGCTATTTCTGGAAAGGGAATGGTTGGAAAAAGGTATATGCATTGTAAGTTTTGCCACATTGCCCTTGGTAGAGGTTGTGTCAATTTACGCTCCCACTAACAGAGTATCTAAATTTGACAAAGTACTCTTCATTCCTATGTTTTTTGAGGCTGCCAAGGTGACTTACCGTTTTGGTCATGTGTGTTAACCTAACAGGAACTTTCTTCTTAAAACACTGTTACAAAAGACCCTAATCCTTTCCAATTTCTCTCAGGCTTTCCTTATGAAAGATGAGAGTTCACAGGAGGAGCATTGGGGAATTCCCTTTGAAGCCTTTCTTAGACAGGATGTTGGTCAATGTAATCAGATTTATTTGAGCAATAGGCAAAAGCAAAAAAAAAAAATTCAGGTTCAATTTATAAAACATTTCTTCAAAGTGTTTTACAAGAATTTTAAAGACTAGTTATATTCCAGAATTTAGCACATGAAAGGATTTTATTAGATTCTTTCTTGACTCCTGCTCTCATAATTACATGCATTAATTTTTTTACTTAAAAATATATACTGCATATCTTTTGTTTTCTAAAAATACAATTTCACAAGCTTGTTTTTATGGCCTGCAAGTATTTTAAAACACCCTTAACGAGACAACACAATACCTATTTTTAAATGTTTTAAAAATTATCTATCTACCCAACTATAGTATTTGTTTAATAGCTTCTTATAAGCAAAAAGATCGTGAAAATTATCTAAAAACTAGAAGCCCAGCACGAGAACTAGCGTGGCCCCGCCCACCCGTGTAGCCTCACCGTGCTTGCAGCCCCGCACACCCGCGCCGGTCTTTGGTTGTTATGGTGTTAGGGTCATGGACTTTATATATATACTAGAGGCCCAGTGCACAAAAATTTGTGCACTCGGGGGGCGAGGGGAGGGGGGTCCCCCAACCTGCTGTGCCCTCTCTCGCAGTCTGGGACCCCTCGGGAGATAATGACCTGCTGGCTTAGGCCTGCTCCCGGGTGGCAGAGGGCAGGCCCAATCCCTA